TACTGAACCTGGCGCTCACAGTTTTGGCTAAGCTGGCTAGCCACTGAGCTCCAGAGATGCACCTGTCTTCACCTCCCCAGCACTGGGGCTGCAGGTACATCCTGCCATGCCCAGCTTTTTATGTGAGTGGTAGGGATCTGAACTCAGGTCCTCATGCTTGTCTACCAAACACTTCTAGGACTAAGCCACCTCCCCAGCTCCATTCTTTGTTTTTGACTCCAAACAAAAATCCTTTCCATTTTCCAAGGAGGTAAATATGTCTGAGACTACAGGATAAATGGCCTGACTGAAAGATCACCCATTGTCCTGCTCCCTCATCAGTGAAATCATGACCCATCAGGCCTTCAGCCCAGGCAGAGAACACAGGCAGCTGTAGAAACATTGCTGAATCTCTTCGTCTGTAGGGACCTAGAACTTAGAGAGATCGTCAGTGTTCAGTTCAGTTTAAAGAGTTTCAAGATTTCCATGATGGCAGAGGGGCTGCTTTCACTGTACTTGATTAATTTCTTTTGAAAGGTCATTATGACACTTCAAGAAGACTATTTACTAACTTTCCACCTGTTTCCATCCAAGAGCAGAACAAGGGTGGCTTCTCAGGTGATTGAAACCAAATTCCTAGTTGGTCTTTAACCACCACACAGTGACCAAAAGATTAACTGAGAGGTTGGTAGAGAGAAATTCGGGGAGGAAAACAACCTGCTTGAGCTTGTTTAACTGGAGGACTGGTTCCTGTGTGGCAGCAAAGGAATGAATGTCTTGTTTCATTTTGTTTTGTCTTGAGACAGAATCTTGCTATGTAGCTGTACTGGTATTTTTTTTCCTGCTAGCACAAGCCTAGACATATCTGGGAAGAGGGAATCTCAGTTGAAGAATTACCTCCATTGGATTTTCCTGTAGAGAAGTCTGTGGGAGCATTTTCTTGGTTGATGGGGAATGTGGAGGATAGGTATTGGTCCTAGGTGGTATAAGAAGGCAAGATAAGCAAGCCATAAGGAGAAAGCCAGTAAGTAGTGTTCCTCTATGATCTGTGCTTCAGTTCCTGACTCCAGACCCTTGCCTTGAGTTCCCGCCTTGGCTTCCCTTATGATGGACTATAAACCAAATAAACCCTTTCCTCCCTAAGTCATTTTCTGCCAGTGTTTTTTATCACACAGCCACAGAAACTGAATTAGGGCAGTAACCCAGGCTGGCCTTGAATTTGAAATACCCCTGCCTTAGCCTCCCAAGTATACCACTTTACCACTTAGTATCTTGTTTTGTGTGAGTGAGTGTGTGTGTGTGTGTGTGTGTGTGAGAGAGAGAGAGTGTGTATGTGTGTGTGTGTGAGTGTGTGTGTGTGAGTGTGTGTGTGTGAGTGTGTGTGTGTGAGTGTGTGTGTGTGAGTGTGTGTGTGTGAGTGTGTGTGTGTGAGTGTGTGTGTGTGAGTGTGTGTGTGTGAGTGTGTGTGTGTGGGTTTGTACATGTGCGTGCAGTGCCCATGGAGACCAGAAGATCCCTGTAAGTAGAGTTATAGGAGGTTGTCAGCTGACTGGTATGTGTACTGGGAATTGAATTTGGAGCCTCTTTGAGAGCAGTTACACATTCTTTTTCTTCCTCCCTCCCTCCCTCCCTCCCTCCCTCTCTCCCTCCCTCCCTCCATCTCTCCCTCCCTTCCTTCCTTCCTTCTTTCCTACTTTCCTTTCTTCCCCCTGAGACGGGGTTTCTTTGTGTAGCATTGGCTGTTTGGAATTCGATTTGTAGACCAGGCTAGTCTCAATCTCACAGAGATCCACCTGCCTCTGCCTCCAGAGTGCTGAGATTAAAGATGTGTGCCACCAATGCCCAGCACACTTATACAATCTTAATTGACAATCCATCTCTTCAGCTCATTGTTTTTATTTTCAGTAAAATTTAAAAAAAATGTTAGAGGGAATGGTTCCAATCATTCCTGCTACTTAGACTACTCATTTTTTTTTCCTGTAGAAGCACCTTTAACCTTCACATTCACCCCTCGCAATGTAGTTATGATTAGTTTACAGATGAATAAAGGGAGGACTCAGACCCACCAAACAAAGCGATCCAGTGCTTTATATGGGGGAAGGTGCAGAGGCAAAGCTGTGTCTTCAGTGGATTGCCATCTAAATCAGAACAGCTGGCACAAAGAGAGGTACATAAGATCAAGGCAGGAGAGCAAACAGTAGGGCTGATACCAGTAAGTGAAGTCTATGGGAGGAGACAGGACCTGACCTGACCTTTGAAACACGTGTATCAGTCTTATTAAGAACAGTGCATGAAGATACACATCATGAGGCTGATAGGATTTGTTTTTAAATTGCATTTTAAAACTTAACCTTATTTGGAAATAACTGTATATCCACGTGCCCTGGTAAGTAATATAACTTATTGCTTATAGATCCTATAACTTTTCTAAAGGACAAATTACTGCATTGGTAACATTTTATAAAACTACAGTAAAATACCATGGATAAGATAGTAACATAATACAATCTATCAGTGTAATTCAGGTTGCCCTGGTTTCCCTCCTATTCTTTGGGTATGTGTGTTTCTATGACAATCAATGACATATAAAGTATGTATCCTACTCCACAGCCAAGCTGAACAGGCCTATCACCACCAGGACCATTCAGACAAATCTTTTAAACTATACTCTGTACCCTTCTGTTGTGGGATGTTTTGATCAAACTCTGACAATAAAGTTTACATAAAAACTTAAATTGTTTATCTAAGAAAATATTTTGAGGTCTAAAAAGATAGTTTTGGGTTGGTAATTACAAGTTAGGATAGAAGCTGGGCCGTGGTGGCGTATGCCTTTAATCCCAGCACTTGGGAGGCAGAGGCAGGCAGATCTCTGTGAGTTCGAAGCCAGCCTGGTCTACAAGAGCTAGTTCTAGGACAGCCTCCAAAGCCACAGAAAAACCCTGTCTTGAAAAAACAAAACAAAACAAACAAACAAACCAAAAACCAAGTTAGGATAGAAAATGAAATAGGTACAAAACTTGGGACTTATCAAGATAGGATTGGAGTATTTCCTCTGAATTTGCCAAATGCAAATGGATTGGACATTGTGAATGTTATTCTTACCTGATAATTATTCTTATTGTATATAGTGTTACTGTGTTAGAGTTAAAACCTTCCCTTTTTATTTAGACAAAAAGGGAGAAATGTTGTGGGATATTTTGGTCAAACTCTGGTACTCCCAAGACTGACAAAATTTGCTTTAAATCAGAGGGTGCAGCTATCTGCTAGCTGACCAAATTAGCCATAGAGGTTTTGTAGGACTGAGGACATAAAGAGAGACACAGGAAGTACTAGGAAGGTTCTTGGCCCTTTTGGATTGACGAAGGAGAGAGAGAGAAGATCATTGGTTGCTTCTATGACATTTCTCTGATCAATCTGGTTCTTACCCAATATCTGACTCCCAAGTTTTTATTGATAAAGAATAGTTTCTCTTCTCCCCTTCTCCCACCCCAGTCCCTAACCTAATTTCAACCTACTAGTTGCTTCTCGATTTTATCACTCAAGATTCTTATAGAAATGGGCAGATGGGGATGGAGAGATGGCTCAGTGGTTCCCAGCACTTGTGTTCAATTCCCAGGATCTACACAGTAGCTCATAACTATCTGTAACTCCAGTTCCAGGGAATCTGAGCCACACACATGGTTCACATACACACATATAGGTAAAACACTCATATATATAAAGTAAAATAAATTAATATTTAAAAGATAAAAGAAATAGGCAGAGGATCCAGCTGTGATGGTGCACACCTGTATGCGCCATCAATCAGAGAATCAGGAGTTTGAGGACAAATTGGGGTACTTAGTGAATTCCAGGCCAGCCTGGGCTGTATAACATGATCCTATCTCAATAAATAAATAAAGCAAAAATCAACCAAACACACAAAAACAAAACAAAACCAAGGGGGCTGGAGAGATGGCTTAGTGGTTAAGAGGACCCAGGTTTTGGTTCCCTGATCAAGAAGAGCACAGTTACCTGTAACTCCAGTTCTAGGGGGATTTGAAGTCATCTTCTGCCCCCCATGGCATTGCACAAAGGCACACACATACACATAAAAAATATAATTTTTTTAACAAAATGAACAAAATAAGGTAGAAGATTTGAATGGACATTATTCCACAAAAAATGTATGTGTTACTTCAAAATCCAAAAAGTTGAATCCGTAATGGCTCTTTTTAATAACTCTTTTATTGAGACAGGGTTTCTCTGAGTAGCCCTGACTGTCCTAGAACTCACTCTGTAGGCTGGGTTGGTCTTGAACTCAGAGATTCACCTGCCTCTGCCTGCTGAGTGCTGGGATTAAAGGCATGCACCACCATCACCACCTGACATTCTTTTATAATTCTACACTGACCATCAGTGCAATAAAAGTTAGCCATGACTAACCACTGAATATAGTTTTGCACTGAACCACTTAGAAAAAGTAAGTTTTTGTTTTGAGGGGGTTTCTAACCTCAGTACCCCCTTTCTGTTAAAACTATATCATATTATTTTACTATATAGTTTTATTTCATGTGTAACTATATTGCTATACATAGAGTATGACTTAATTTTTAAAATGAGCACTTAGTGAAGCAAAAGATGTGTAAATAGCTACTGAACTTAACAGCATCAGCCCTCAAAGGAAATGCAAAGCAGAACCTCAGTGAGATCCAGTTCCTATCTGCTGGGGTGGCTTCAACAGAAAGCCAGTGTTAGGAGCTCCACGGAGGAATTGAAACTGTCACGCAATGCTGGTGGGCAGGAGAAATGCCGCCCTTCAGAGCACAATTGAATAAGAGTTATGAAATGACTCTGCAATTCCACTTCCAGCTATGATTTCTAAGAGAGATGAAAACCTGCATTTAGGCAAGAAATTGTGAGTGTAGCAGCTTCATGTGCAATGGTTGAAACTAGAATAACCCAGTCCACTGGTAAGTGCATAGGTGAATTGTGCTGGAGCCATACATGCAATACTATAGCTTGTTGAAAAGCAGCAAGCTGTGCTCACTTTGGCCACACATATACTAAAGTTGGAACAATACAGAGAAGATTACCATGGCCCCTGGACAAGAATGACACTCAAATTCATGAAATGGTCCACAGTTTTTTGAAAAGTGTGCTGATATATATCACACACTAAAATGGCCTGAAGCAGACACCCATGTACCTACAGTTGCAAAATGCCAACATTTTGGAAAGAACATTGGTTGTATAGTAGTTCATTCATTTGCAGTGGATCTTTGCTCCTTTTCCTCAGGTTTGGAATTGGATCTGCTAAGTTGGGGTTTTGCTGCTAGAATTCTACCCTGGACCCTCAAACAGATCGATGTGAATGCAGTTCTTCCCCCTGTGTGAAGGAGCAGTCACACCCCTGTAACAGAATAGGAAGAAATACTTAGAACAGTTTCAAGTTTTATCTTTTTTGTATATGAATATAAATAATAAAGAAGAATGAGCTTCAGTCCATGTGTTAGCATGCATTGACTCCAGAATAATTACACTGGGTGAAAGAAAAGACGCTTTTAAAAGGATATATATGATCCAGGACTTCATAGGTGGAAATTCTAGAGAATGCAACCTTCTGATCCTTCAGCCTCCTCCTTGCAAATGCTGGAATTCTAGGCATGTGCCACCACACCTAGTGGTGGTACTTGGATTGGAAGCCAGCATGTTGAGAAGCACTTTGCCAACTCATCTCCCCAGCCCGCAAAAAGCCTTTCTAAAAGAAAAGTCTGTAATATTAGCACCTGTAATCACACCAAATTTCTGTTCCTCTGTGTCCCCAGTCCTCATGTGTGTTTGTGCGTTTGTTGCTGCCATGTTGGGGTATGTAGCCTTTTCTGCTTGCAACCCCTAAGTTATCCTTCATCAGGATTTTATTTTGTTATAAGCTTTTTTTCCCTCCATTTTTTAAATTTAAATTAGAAACAAGATTGTTTTACATGTCAATCCCAGTTCCCTCTCCCTCCTCTCCTCCCCTGGCCCCCCACTAACACTCTACCTATCTCATACCATTTCTGCTCCCCAGGGAGAGTGAGATCTTTCATGGGGGGGGGTCTTCAGAGTCTGTCATATCCTTTGGGATAGGGCCTAGGTCCTCCCCCGTGTGTCTAGGATGAGGGAGTATCCCTCTGTGTAAAATTGGCTCCCAAAGTCCATTCCTATGCTAGGGATAAGTACTGATCTACTACAAGAGGCCCCATAGATTTTCAAGGCCTCCTCACTGAAACCCACGTTCATGGGGTCTGGATCAGTTCCATGCTGGTTTCCCAGCGATCAGTCTGGGGGCCAAGAGCTCCCACTTGTTCAGTTCAGCTGTTTCTGTGGGTTTCACCAGCCTGGTGTTGTCCACTTTGCTCATCACTCCCCCTTCTCTGCAATTAGATTCCTGTTCAGTTCAGTGTTTAGCTGTTGGTATCTGCTTCTACTTCCATCAACTGCTGGTTGAAAGCTCTAGGATGGCATATAAGTTAGTCATCAATGTCATTATCAGGGGAGGGCATTTAAGGTAGCCTCTCCACTGTTGCTTAAATGGTTAGTTGGTGTCATCCTTGTAGATCTCTGGACATTTCCCTAGTGCCTGATTTCTCTTTAAACCTATACTGGCTCCCTCTCTGGTACTATCTCTTATTACATTAAAGATTAAAATGCAGACAGGAAAATCACACAACTCTTAAATGCACAGCTCCACGAACCTCAAAGTGAATGTACACAAGAAGAGCTTGCTTTGAAAGCAAGCATCCATTTCTCAAAAGTCACAGGTTGGATTGATGTGCGTGACAAAGGCAGACTCAGCTGGACACTAGTTAAAGCACTAAGATAGACTATTCTATCACTGCCAAGAGCAGAGAAAGAGCTAAGTTCCATAGGATGTGGGCAGAGGTGATGGGTTGGGAGAAGAGAGAGTGGGTGGGCTGAGTCAGGATTGTGGAAAATAGTTGAAAGTGGAAGGATTTTGCTCCATGTGAATTCCATCCAGTTTGCTAAGTGGCACTTATGTCCCCATCCCCCGAGACTAGGAGACAGGGACTCTATCTTCAGGTGATGACTGGGACAAACAGTAAACTTTTTTTTTTTTGAAACTGAATTTTCTCAGTCAGGTATTTTGAAGAAAAATAGGGTTACTCCAGCAATTCAGCCTTGAGCTGTAAGAAAATGTGTTTGTTCAAGTGTTTGAGGACCAAAGCTGAGGCCTAGTAACAAAGACTAAGAGGAACCTGGCTAGAGTTTGGTCAATGAGAGAACCTTTGTTGGCACAAGTGACCCACAAACTGTAGGACTTTCAGAATTGTTACTGAAGCAGGTAGAAGTCAAAGGACAACTTGGAGGAGTAAGTTTTCTCCTTTGACCATATTGGTCCTGAGGTTGTGGTTGCCTTATTTTTTAGCCTTGCTGGCAAGCATTTCCATCCTCTGAACCATTTGTTTCACCACCCCTCCAGTGTAAGTCTTAACATACAACATAGACTCGCTTGCTTGATCATTTTGCAGGTTCTCAGAGGAGCTGGACAAGGAGAATGGCAGGATTCTGGTTCTTCCATTAAACATCCTGGTCTTGGTTTTCTGACTTACAGAGGAAATTGAAAAGTTTCTACACCACTCTAAGCCTCTCTACTGATGAAACAATCCAAACCAGACCAAATCAAACTGAATTAGAAAAAGTCCACGTTTAATGGATATAGTGCTGCCTGATGGCCTTCTAGTCTCCCAGAGAGGAGTTGGAAAAGAGAGACCCGGAGTTTAAATACACTGTGGGAGTGGTCTTGAGCACCTCTGGGGGGAGGGGTCATCATTTGGTGGGCCTTTTGAGATGTAGCAGGGTTTGGAGGGAGATAGGGGAGGAGGGCTTGGGTGGACTTTCACCATAACAGAGATGATGCCTGCTGTTAAATCAATAATGAGTAGAAGTCACCCAGTGCACAGGAATAGTCTAATAACAGTGAGGTCTCACCAAAGGTATGAATAGCCTAGTGCTACTTAAGGTCCCCTCCTGACTTGAATTCCATTATCCAGATTTCTAAAAGGATTCTTTCAAGTTGAAAGTCAAGATCTGAAAATGGAAATTTCAGAGAATTAAACAGCAACAGCAATTCTATAAAAAGGACATTGGTGGGGGACAGGGTCTCATGTATCCCAGGCTAGCCTTATACTTACTTTGTGTCTAAGAATAGCCTTGGGCTTCTGATCTACCCACTTCCGCTTCCCACATGCTAGCATTGCGGGCTTGTGCCACCACACCCAGTTTATGTGATGCTGGATATCAAGCTTGGGTCTTCATGCATGCTAAGCCAGCATGCTACCACCTGAGCTACACCCCAGGCCTTAAAAGTGCATTCTAAAACTCATTCATATAGTTTTCTTTGTACATGTGTTTGTGAGAACATGCATGCATGTATGCAATATACACGGGGAGGCTGGAGGACAACCTCAGGTGGCATCCTCAGGAACACCATCCATCTCCTTTGAAACAGTGTCTCTCATAGGCCTGCAGCAGGTCACCCAAGATAGGGTATCCAAGGAGCCCCAGGGATCCTCATGTTTCTACTTCTCTAGCACTGGAATGCAATTGTGAGAAACAAAGAATAAAACACCTGTGTTGAGGCTAGAAAGATAAGTCAGCAGCTAAGAACACGGGCTACTCTTCCAGAGGATCTGGGTTCAATTCCCATTACCCACATAATGGCTCACAACTATCTGTAACTCTAGTTCCAGGAGATCTGATATCCTTGTTTGGCCTTTGAAGGCACTGCACACATGTGGTGAACAGACATACATATAGGGAAAACATTCATCCACATAAAACTAGTAAATCTTAAAAAAATAATAATCTCAGTGTCACACAAAGATACACAGAGCAAAAAGTATCTTGGCTAGGCAATTCACTTTGCAAAAATGGTGTGTCTGAACCCAAACTGGCTAGCAACACACTAGGGCCAACATGGCTCCTATCTTTTATCCCTGAGATGGATGGTGACTGCATCTGATCCACACAAAGGGAGAGGGGAGGGTTCAGGAAATATGAATCCTTGTTTGATTAATTACCTTTGACAAACAAAACCAAAAACTCATTTCTTACACTAGCACACACTATCCAGGCAAGCTTATGTGAGTGCTAGGAATTGAACTTAGGTCTTTGAGCACACAGACTTTTCAATAATATTGTTGAAGTTTACCATATGCCAGTCACTAAAACTAATCCTTAGCTGGGAAGGAACTCACAAACCATTGGCAGATAAATCTCAGAGTCAAAGCCAAAAAGTTAAGAGAAACTGTAACCCGGGGCTGAGGGCTGCAATGGGGTATGATATCCAGAAGAAAGCAACATTGAGGGGGAAAAAATGAACATTCCAGAAAGGACAACTGTGTGTGTACTCAGGATTATCTTCTGTTTTCAGAGAACTGAGGTAAAATTGCAGACAAGAGGTGCAAGGTGGGAAGGGAGGGGCCTGAGCCCTTCACACCAGGCACATCCTTCACTAAAAATTCAAAGACCATTTTATAATGGAAAATGAATTATTAACATATAACCAGTGGACACTGTTTATTTTATTCCCCCAAATGAGAGGGAAAGGGGAACTTTTTTTTTTTAACTACATGGAGACATGCATTAGGACTTTTACTATTTAGACACCCCCAGAAGCTGGCAAATGCTGCAGGGAACAAGCTTGGGCATGGAACGGCAGCCGTGCCATCCCAGTGGACCCAGGCCATGTTATACTTGCTGCAGCCGCCTCCATTGGCACTACTGGGAAGCCACAGGCCTTACCTAACACATTCCCCAGCTTCCCAAAAGCCCACGCCTCTGCTAGGAGAAGCCTACTTCAAATATCTCAGTGATGCCCAGAGGTTGGTATAATTAAGGTGTGCATACGGTGGCAAGAAGGTATTGATAGGAAACTTATCTGAGGATGTCACTTGTGTTTGGGGAGGGAAGAAGTAAGGGAAGAAGGGAGAGTGGGAAGGAGGAGAAAATAAGGAAAAGAGAGGCTAGAGGGAGAAAATAAAGTGGGAAGGAAGAAGAGGGGGAAAGAAATAACTAAAGTAAGAGAAGGCAATAAAAAAGAAAGGCTAGAGAGAGGGAGGAATGAAGGGAGAGCGAAAGCAAAGAGAATAGAGGAGGGAAGAGATAAAGGAAGGAAAGAGAGAAGATCAAAGAAGGGACAAAGACATGAAAGGGAGGAAGGGAGAAGAAAGCGATAAAGGGAGGGGAGGAACCAGTGAGGATTAGTGGCCAGAAGGCAGAAAGGAGGCCAGGACCAGACGCTCGATGCGCTCGTCGCTCACACGTAGGGACTCAACTGCACCGGACTGGAAGGGCCCCCCCCCTCCCCCACTCCCATCCTGC